GTTGCCGGACACGGAAAAAGGACAAAAAAAAAAAAAAAAAAAAAAAAAAAAATTGTTGTAAATTGTCCCTTCCCTTCCAGGTGATGGCAGATTAGAGATAAGCAATTAGGCAGCAGTTGCTTCCCAACAATCTCTTTTGATTTGCCTCTGACTTAGGAATTGCTCCTTCATATGGTTTTGAAGTCAAACCCAGTCCATTAGCATCACCTGTCAATTGCTAGAAAAACAAGATTACAGAGGAGATAGGTGGTACACACACAGGCAGAGGAAGGATGTAGACATTAGCGAGCGACATGGAGGGAACTCTGTATTAAGAAAACATTGCAGGACATTCATTTCTCAGAGGTATATCTCACCTGTACTGTAAGTGGAGAGCACAGAGTGGTGGCAAAGGTGAGAAGAATGTATTTTGCCCTTCTTTAAGTCAATTTGGACATGTCCTGACCTTTGCAAATAGTGCCCCCTCCCCAGCAGCTCCCTCTTACCTCCGAAGTGGGCCATTTCTAAGCTCCTCCAAAGTCTCGGCCACATGTCAAGGCTGTTATCTTCCCTTTCGGTCCCTCTTTGGTTTCTGCTGCTGCTGTGCTGCCGCTGCCGGCTAACCCTGTTGTTACTTGGGTGGGTCGGGAGGCTGTTCATGGTGATCGCATTACAGAACTGTCGGCTGGCTTGGCCAGGAATGTGATGAGATAAAAAGTTTGGGTCTGTGTGGGCTAGAAACAAAACGCCCTTCTTCCTGAATGGCATGTCTTTAAAGCCCAGAAAAAATATGCAGTTCAAGCAGGAGCTGGAAAAGTGCACTTGGCCAAACTCTGGGCTTTCCCCCATACTTTTCTTTTTTTTTAATTTGCTTCATTTTCTGCAACTTAAGAAAATGTTGCTGTCCTGTAGGAGGCAGGTTCAATAAAAGATGTAGGTATCAGATAACGGCAGGTAGTCCAAGTTAATAAAAAGGTTACAGAGACCAGAGGACTTCATTTTCTTATTTTTTCGTTGCTTCTCTTCCTGTGGAGGGCAGGGAGGGGAAGAGAGACACGTCAGCTATTACTAGTGAGTCTATATGGAGGAAGGGTACATCCTGTTTACACTTTGATTCAGACAGGGGAAGTTAGGACACAAGATCCATGACGTGAACTGGGGATCACCTTTGAAAAAGAACTAATTCTTATTTTTAAATTTCTAAAACTTATTTTTGAATAGGCAATATGTACGTATGATATAAAATAGAGAAGGGTCAAAAGTCAGAAGAGTGTACAGTGAAGTCTTTTTTTCACTCCCCCAGACTCCTTGTTTTCCTCCCAAGAGGCAATCTTGTGACCAGTTTTATATATCCTTCCAGAGCTTTTCTATGTAAATAGAACAATGCCTTCCCCCACTCCTTTAGCAACAGCACCATACATGTTTATTTTATACCTTGCTTTGTTTACTTAATATTCAAATGTGGAGATTGTTCCATACAGTACCTTTAAGAGCTGCTATGTTCTTTTTTTTTTTTTTTTTTTTTTTTTTAAAGATGACCCGTGAGGGGATCTTAACCCTTGACTTGGTGTTGTCAGCACCACGCTCACCCAAGTGAGCCAACTGGCCATCCAAATATAGGATCCGAACCCGGGGCCTTGGTGTTCTCAGCACCGCACTCTCCCGAGTGAGCCACAGGCTGGCCCTGCTATGTTCTTTTTTAATGACTGTATGCTGTTCCATTGTATAGATGTGTCATACTTTATTTGGCCAATAAAGGACCACATCTGGGTCATCTTTCCCTGCCTAATTCCTTGCACAAATCAAGGGTTCACTAAACATTTAATGCTTGCTCACAAATTAATTACATTTTGTACAGCTTGTTCATGTTTTCCCTCATCTCTCCTTTCAGAAGTACCCATGTTTTTTCCAATATTCCAGATATTTATATAATGTATATATCCCCAGGCAGACCAAGTCTGTTTTGGGCACTGATCAAACCTTGCTACCTGACTTCCAAGGCTCACCTTAGTCTGGCTCTTCTCATATAACATCGTTTTCCATTTCTTCCTATTTTCTTTCTTTTTTTTTTTTTTAAAGATGACCGGTAAGGGGATCTTAACCCCTGACTTGGTGTTGTCAGCAATATGCTCACCCAGTGAGCCAACCGGCCATCCCTATATGGGATCCAAACCCGTGGCCTTGGTGTTATCAGCACCGCACTCTCCCGAGTGAGCCACCGGCCGGCCCCCATTTCTTCCTACTTTCTAATGCTCCAAGTGTCAGTTTCATGTGCAAACATTTATTATTTACTTA